CCGGGGTGCTGCAGTGGGTGGCGAAACATGGCGCCGTGGACGTGTTGGCGCTGCTGCCAGCGCACGGTGGGCTGGGTGCCGGTGCTCTTCATCGCCTTCGTGGTCGTCTGGTCCTACTACGCGTACGTGGTGGAGCTGTGCGTGTGTGAGTACCGGGCGGGCGCGGCCTGCGGGGCGCGGGCCCGGGCCGGCGGGCGAGGCCGTCCCGACGTCCGCGGCCCGGCTCCGTGAAGGAACGGCGCAAGGGGCTGGTCCGCGAACAGGGACGGTGGAGCTTCGTGGGAGTTCTGTGTGCTTGGCCCTTCCTTTTCTGTTGCTGTTTGAATCAAGAAGTCTGTTCTTCCTCGATGGTTGGTCTACACCACCGCGAGGGGAAACGTGTTACTGCAGAGCCGGCCGCGGGGGCGGGTGGTCTCCGCGTCGCCGGCTGAAGGGGATACCTGGAAGACGGCGAGCGCCCGCTTTTGATTTTTGGTGGTACATGACCCACTTTAAAGTTCATTTATTTCACGTCTGAATCCAGTAACTTGTACATGTTGTGTAAGTTACTGGATTCAGATTTAAAAAGACGAAGAATGAGTGAGACGATATACAGCCCGATTATCCTTTTCTTAGCTATTTATTATGGAGGTTTATATTTCTTTCATCCTCAGATTTGAGGTCTTATTTTATTTTCCTTACTGCCATTTCCCTTGTTAGTTCTTAGTACCCAATTTCTCACCTGATTCCCTGGAAAAAAGGAGTAACATTGCAGTACACTTAAAGAATTTAAGATACTGATTTGAATAGGTTGTCAAGATTGAAGGAAATTAGTTGTCAATCAAAACATTGTTCTAGGGCTACTACTATGTTTGTGCTATTGATTGATTGCTCTCTTTAAGTTAATTGTTCACAGGCTTTGACTGTGCAGCTGTTTTAGACTTACTGGCCTCCTCCGGGTTGTTCTTTATATCAATTCTTTGGGAAAACTTAGGACCAAGTGGTAAGTGGTGTTGGTAAAAGCAATCCCTTGGTATCCCAAAGTCATCTAGTCTTAGTCTCCAGACTGAGTCCATAGTTACCTAAAGGACTGCTGTTATACGCACTAAAAAAAAAAAAACAAAAGTCGCATTACATGCAGTCGGCCCTTCGTATCTGCGGGCTCCGCGTCAGCGGATTCAGCCAGCCGCCGACGTACACACAGGGTAGGGGTTCGCGGATGCGGAACCCGCGGATACCGAGGGCCGACTAAGGGGCTTGAGCATCCGCGGATTTTGGTGTCTCTGGGAGTCCTGGAACCAATCCTCGCGCGGATGCCGAGGGACGACTGTAGATACTAATTGTATGAGTGAAAAGAAGCTGTACCGTCCACTCCACTTGAAAGTGGCAGAATCAAGACTTCAATTACAGCTCTGGATTTGTATAGCTCTCAAATAAGTACTTGGTTAAAAGTGAGTTCTGCACATGGAAGAGAATGCTTTGGCTCAGAAGATTTGAGGGTTGGTTTTTAAATGAAGATAGCCACCTTTAAGAAAATTATTTTGTACCTATAGAATACTTAATTTTGAAGAAAACTATCCCTGCAAGGAGGCCCAGAATAAATTAGTTGTGGAATACTTTTCCAAATAATAATTGTGTTAATCTGTTGAATGTTATTGTTTAGTCTCATCCTTTTGGATACCAAAATGTTTGCGGAAAATGATGTTTGAATCAATTAAAATTGACTAGATTTGGGTATTTCTTGAGGCTACTTCCAGAAAGTGATAGTGATCATGGGATTCTCATCAGCTTGTCATATTTTATCTTATTTACTCTGAAGTGAGTGTTTGTTCCAAAAGTTGTACCAATCTTATTTAATTCCATCAGAAGATTATTCTCACCCTATTCTAATTCTATAGTGATTTTGAAGTAAAGCTTCTGAAGGAACACGAAAAATGTTCATTTATGTTGAAGTTGCACATTTGACCTGTAGGTTGTTTTTGTCAAAACTATCAAAAGGTGACATCAAACATAAACAAAAGGAAATGAACATGAATTGAGAAATGCTGTGTGCTTGTGGGGACAGAGGGCACATTTCATCATTCTCTCCTTTATCCTCTCAATATCTCTGAGCATAGGTATCTCTACAGATGTAGGAAATAAGACTGAGCAAATAGGTCCTTTGGTTAGGTCACACAATTATGGTGGCTGTTGGAATGTCACCCACATCTTTCCACTCTGCGTGTAACTTTTAGTGAGCTGTGACAGTCACTGGAACTGTCATAGTTTGGTACATAATGGGGGGTAGGAGGTGGAGTTAAGTGGTTGCCCTTTTTGGAGATCACTTAAGTTAGGCTTAGGCCGGTCCTTTAGAGGTCATATTCAAGGATTTCATTAAGTTAAAACATTCTGCAACTATTAAGGCCCAGTGCTTGGCAGAATTTTAAAATACTCAGTGGTGAAAGGTCCTACCTACAAAGGGCCTGCATTTAATGTTTCTAAGTTATCTGAGTTTAGGGAAAATTGTGGAGGTCTGCAGTGTCATTGGACTATATTGTTGAGCATAAAAGCTCGTTTACTCTCATATTGAAACTATCCTTTAAAATACTTATGTATATTTATGTTTTCATAAGGACAGACCCTCCCACTGAAATATATTGATATATAACCTTATAGGAGCTTTAAATTGAGTGAAGTGTGAATTTTACTTAAAGTGCTGTTTTAATAATTTTTATAGAATTTTTTTAATTTCTACTATTCTTAAACTAGATGAGAGAGAATGATAATATTTATCTCTTTACATGTGTTAATTTATTTAATCGTCATAATAATCTTCGTAAAGTTAAGTGATTTATCCAGGGTCATACAACTAGTAAATGGCATAATCAGAATTGGAACTCAAGTGGTTTGGCTCCAGAGCCAAGATTACTACTATGCAAGACTAGTCTACTTAGTTATCCAGATCTGGACACTCAGGGCAGATTCTAGTTGTATCTGTGATCTGCTTGTGTAAGGTAATTTTCTCCTAAAAGGTAGCAGCAGAAAGTTCCTAAATATCTGAGACAATAAAAGTGCCTGGTCCACAGTAGGACATTTGAACAAATAAGTTGTATGAGAGGCCTTCATTTTATCCCAGCCTCTATAACTTCCTAATTTTGTAATTCCTTACACACACACACACACACTCAATCAGTAACTCCTATTACTGGAAGGAGTAATATTGAGGACAAAATTGAGTAAGAAGTAATGCATCTAAGATGGCCATCTCACAGGGGTGATAAGCAGAGAAATAACAGTTAAGTAATTAGTAATATTGGTCCTTGATTTTATTCTTTTTTTTTTTAATTAATTTACTTTTTGTGTGTGAGGAAGATCAGCTGTGAGTTAACATCCATGCCAATCCTCTTTTTGCTGAGGAAGACTGGCCCTGAGCTAACATCTGTGCCCATCTTCCTCCACTTTATGTGGGACGCCGACACAGCATGGCCTGACAAGCAGTGCGTCGGTTAGCGCCTGGGATCCGAACCCGGGCCACCAGCAGCAGAGTGCGAGCACTTAACCGCTATGCCACGGGGCCGACTCCTGTCCTTGATTTTAAATTAAGCTGAAATTCTCCTTCAGTTTTCTTCCAAGGCTGATATTTAAACATATGGACTTAGTTATGGGTGGATTGACCAACTTTTCCACTTTGGTCAAGGTAGTTATTTTTGAGGACAGTGCTAATTCAGGTTCTTGGGATTTTATCAGAACATCTCGTTCAGGTCATTTGTAGCTGTTAGTAGAAGACGTGTACCTCTTATTTGGCATGTAGAGGATCTCGGAGCTTAAAGAGATTTTAGAGATGATCTAATTCAATCCCTTTATTTTACTTCTAAGAAAACTGTTGCTCGGAAGAGCTATGTGGTTTGTCCAAGGATGGATATGCCTTTATTTTTCAGAGAGAAATATGTAGAGTAGAGCTGTAACCTCTGAGTCTGTATATCTAATACTTCGTTGTGTCTCCTTCATAACTTCTTCAAATTTAGAATGAGACAAGATAAATAACTTAAACATCAGTGTGGAGCACACTGTCGACGCAGGTGATTCCAGTGTGTTTTATTGATTTCAAAAGAACCAGCTTTTGATTTCATTGATTTTTCTCTATTTTTTTTCTGTTTTTTGTTTCATTGATTTCTTGTCTGATATTTATTATTTCCTTTTTTCTTTTACTTTGGGTTTAATTTGCTCTTTTTCTACTTTCTTAGTGTGGAAACTGAAGTCATTGATTTCAGCCCTTTCTTACATGTTTAGTCCTATAAATTTACCCCTAAATACTGCTTTATTCACATCCCATCAATTTTGATATGTTGTATTTTCATTTTCATTCAGTTGTAATTTCACTTTTGACTTCGTCTTTGACTCATTGATTATTTTAGAAGCATGCTATTTAGTTTCCACTTATTTGGGGATTTTACAGATATCTTTTTGTTACTGATTTCAAATTTAATTCTATGTAGTTAGAGAACATCCCTTGGATGACTTGAGTCCTTTAAAATGCATTCATGCTTGTTTTATGGCCCAGAATGTGGTCTGTTTTGGAAGTGTTCCATGTGCTTTTGATAAAAATGTATTCTGTATTTAGCAATGTATTTTGCTCTTTGTTGTTGGGTGAAGTCTTCTGTTGTGTCATAATGCTCCACAAATGTCAATTAAGACAAGTTGGTTGATAGTGTTGTTTAAGTCTTCTGTGTTCTTGGTGATTTTCTATTCTATCAATTAATTATTGGGAGAGGTATGACTATAATTGTGAATTTGTGTATTTGTGTAGTTCAATCGGTTTTTGCTTCATGTATTTTGCAGTTCTGTAATTAGTTACATAAAATGTTTAGGATTGTTGTGTCATCTTGTTGAATTGACCCTCTATCATTATGAAATGACTTTCTTATCCCTGGTAATATTGTTTGCTTTGAAGTCTACTTTGGAAGATATTAACATGTCCACTAATCTTTCTTTTGAGTAGTGTTAGCACGTTATGTCTTTCTACTTTTAGTTTAACCTGTTTATGTCTTTATATTTAAAATGCATTTCTTGTAAGCAGCATGTAGTTGGGTCTTGCTTTTTAAATCCGACCTGAAAAATCTCTGCCTTTTTTCTTTTTTTTGTTGAGATATAATTGACATATAACATTATATTAGTTTTAGGTGTACA